ACCCGGTTATGATGCTTAAAGTAGTCTCATGTTTTGAAATGCTGTTTTTATATTGTTTACTTATAAGAGAAATGGACCAAGAAATTGAAGGGGCATAGACAAAGACGGATTGTCGGGGATTAAATTTTAGCTACCTGCTACAATTTAGTACAGTCCGATCGCACAAAGTTTTTTTAAAAGTACACCTCATCCTATACCGATAATACATAATATAAAAATATTGAATATAAGCACCAGTACTACATTTATTTACGATTTGCATACATAAGAAGAATAAGCTTTTATTACTCTCTTTCATTTCTAAACAGACTATAGGTATTCATTTTTAATTCATAACTTACTTAATTAAAATCTCTATTAGACATTTTAACCGACATATACCTACCATATCGAATAGCTCCTTTTTCATGAACGGTTTCAAAATAGTTAAAATTTTCTCGAACACGTAGGAAGCATTGAGTATGTGAACTTGCCTCAGTTGAATAGGAAAAGCTTCTTGTAAGTAACATAGAAACTTTCTTACAGCTCCTATCTTCATCCGAGTTACGTGCATTAAGCCAACCTAAAAATGATCAACTTAAAAATTACCACAGTTTAAATCAACATTCATGGGCTCTGAGCCGTTTGCACCGAAAATTATGCAGGGTGTTTCAGGAGAAGATGTACATACTTCAGTATGTTATTCTAAGTTCAATTTTAAGGAAAAAATTTCCTATGAACTTAGGTCTGGAAACGCTTCGTTTAGGCTGTACAGCAGGTATGGGCAATCTTTGCTTAGGTGATGGCGTAATTTCGAGACTTAATCAGGTCGCGGGCCGTAGGCAAGAAATAAGTAGTGAATAAAAAAAGCCACAAAAATTCACACATTTTTTTATTTATTAATTATAATAGCATAATCAAACGTATAAAAAGCAAATTAATAAAAAAAGATAGAAAAATCAAATGAAAATGAACGAGATACTTGAGTTCGAAGCTGAGAAACAAGATGATCAATATTGCGGTCAATATCAGTAGTACATAGGCGCAAAGTGTTTAATGGTATTTACTACCACATCCATAACATTTTTCAGTCGAATGGACTTCGAGCACAAGTTTTTTTGGTGAATAATGCAATGCAGAATTATTAAATCACATTCTTGCTCTCTGCAAAGCCAACATAAGAACTGTTCGAACGTCAACTCTGATACCTTACAGCTCATTAACCGCTTAACCAGGGACGGATATCTTACTGGTCAGTACATGTTGTAGACCGATAATCACGCTCACCTCTTCGCAAACGTGTAAGAGGCGAGATTCTCAGCACCGCATGCGTTGAAAGAGCATTTCGATACAAACGCCGATCACCCCCAAAATAATCCGCGACATTATCAAGTGGTACAGTCTAATAATTTTAAGTTTAAGCGAGGCTTATATCGGTGCAAACAGCCCTTTACTGAAATGTATTTTATGAAAGGGACAACAACATTTTGGATTATTACTCTTGTCATTCCTTTCATATTTTGTACATACAGTTTTTTTTAATAAGTAATTACCCCCTTCATATTTATGATGAAGACCAACCCGTCTGGTGGCCCTGAATGCAGCGCTACGTCCACCAACGAGAACAAAACTTTCGACTGTTGCTCCAAATTGTAATTATAATAGTACGTGTCTCTTAACATAGCGAAGCCTACCACGTAGTTATTCTTGGTCCGCTTCGGAGAAATCGCAAATTTTCTGAAAGTACAGACAACTGCACGTTAATAATACAGCCCCACAAAAAAAAGTGGCAGGTCCGAAAGACAAGACCATGGTATCCATATGCTTTTGGGGTCGCTGAATCCGAATCCGGTATCCGTTTAACGCGATTAGCTCTGGTTTAAGGTCAATTCAAGGTTAAATATAGAAAATCAATTGTCAACAAACTAAACCTACGTATCTATACGTTTTTGGAGTAGCCGAATCCGAATCCGGTGTCCGTTTAACTCGATCAGATCTGGTTTAAGTTCTTGAACTGACTGACCTTAAACCAGAGCTAATCGTGTCAAACGGATACCGGATTCGGATTCAGCGACCCCAAAACCATATGGATTCCATGGTCTTGTCTTTCGGACCTGCCACTTTTTTTTGTGGGGCTGTGTAATCAATAGGCAACCATCGATCTGCTACAATCAAATCGATGTAGGCAACCGTCACTACAGACATTTGTAAAGTGGGTAATCTTCTATATCAAGACTTCCTTATAGAAATATAATATAAATACAGGGTGATTCATTAAAAATGGGAAAGTCGAAAGCTGAAGATACTACACGTGAAATGGTGACCATTGGCGCAAACATGCCTTATCCGAAAGTTGATAGTTTCGGAAATACAGGGTGTTGAAAGTTAAAATTTTAAATCGTTTTTTTGCGATTATTCTGAAAATATGTAGGTTAGGAACTTGAAAATTTGTGAAACTATATTTTTTTAGGCGACGAATAAGATGCGTGTTGTAATTTCAGCATTGCTCATAGAGGGCGCCACTTACGACCAATTTTACCGAAAATTTAGTTAATAACTTTTTACCCTGTATGTCTAACATGAAACTTGATTCAAAACCTGAAAGAGCAATCATTTTTCCATTAATTGTGTATTCTTGTTTCATTTCGGTATCTCGATCCGTTTTCGAGAAAAATCGATTTAACGAACACTATGTTTTGATAATACGAGAAATTAAAAGCGAAACAAACCAAGTGTTTCTTCGTGTTATTACAACAATTAACAATAAAACAAATGAAATTCGTAATAATGATTTAAAGTCAGTGTTCGAAGAATCCACCGTTGACATTTACACACTTTACACAACGTTTTCTGAGAGATCTTCGAGTTTGAAACAACATATTGGGATTGCGTTTGACTTCGTTGGCAGCGATTTGTATTCTTTGCCACAACTCTTCACACGAACCAATAGATTCTTCCAAATAGAAAAATGAAGAGGATTGAAGTCCGGACTTCTGGGTGGCCAAGTAAAAATGCTTCCACGGCTTGAAGAAGTTCCACTTTATTTAAGAAGAGACATGTGGTTCATGCACGACGGAGCTCCACCGCATTTTTCTTGGCCAGTGCGTGCATATTTAGATGCAGTTTTTCCAAATCGCTGGATTGGCCATGTAAGCATTTTTGCTTGGCCATCCAGAAGTCCGGACTTCAATCCTCTTGATTTTTCTATTTGGTCTCGAATGAAAGATATAGTTTACAAAGAATCTATTGGCTCGTGTGAAGAGTTGTGGCAAAGAATACAAATCGCTGCCAACGAAGTCAGACGCAATCCCAATATGTTGTTTCAAACTCGAAGATCTCTCAGAAAACGTGTAAAGTGTATCAGTGTCAACGGTGGATTCTTCGAACAATTACTTTAAATCATAATTACGTATTTTATTTGTTTTATTGTTAATTGTTGTAATAACACGAAGAAACACTTGGTTTGTTTCGCTTTTAATTTCTCATATTATCAAAACATAGTGTTCGTTAAATCGATTTTTCTCGAAAACGGATCGAGATACCGAAATGAAACAAGAATACACAATTATTGGAAAAAAGATTGCTTTTTCAGGTTTTGAATCAAGTTTCATTTTAGACATACAGGATAAAAAGTTATTAACTAAATTTTCGGTAATATTGGTCGTAAGTGGCGCTCTCTATGAACAATGCCGAAATTACAACACGCATCTTATTTGTCGCCTAAAAAAATAAAGTTTCACAAATTTTAAAGTTCCTAACGTACATATTTTCAGAATAATCGCAAAAAAACGATTTAAAATTTTAACTTTCAACACCCTGAAACTATCAACTTTCGGATAAGGCATGTTTGCGCCAATGATCACCATTTCGCGTGTAGTATCTTCAGCTTTCGATTTTCCCATTGTTAATGAATCACCCTGTATAGGGTGTATTTAAATGAAGGGGCACAAATGACACCAGAGATTTGTTAGGTGAAAATAAGTTGATTTAACCTAAAAATGATTATTATATTATTTTTCACATCCTGAAAAAATCTCTTACTAGAAAATTTGAAACATGTCGGACTAAAACCTTTGAAATTATTAAGGAAAACCAAATTTTTATTTTTCACTTTGACACCCTGTATCTTTTTTATTGTAGGTATGTTAGGCTAAATCAACTTATTTTTACCTAAGGAATCTGGTATCATTTATGCCCCTCCATTTAAATACACCCTCTATAACGTATAGTTTAACAATGGGTATTAGTGTAGCTCATTTTTATTGTTTATTATTTTACGAAATGCGCAGATGGAATTTTATAAAAACAATCTGTAGTAAAATACAGAAAGCGCGCGAGCAACTATGAATGCGCTACACATTCCACTACGCCATCTACCAATCATCCATAGGTANCTAACGTACATATTTTCAGAATAATCGCAAAAAAACGATTTAAAATTTTAACTTTCAACACCCTGAAACTATCAACTTTCGGATAAGGCATGTTTGCGCCAATGATCACCATTTCGCGTGTAGTATCTTCAGCTTTCGATTTTCCCATTGTTAATGAATCACCCTGTATAGGGTGTATTTAAATGAAGGGGCACAAATGACACCAGAGATTTGTTAGGTGAAAATAAGTTGATTTAACCTAAAAATGATTATTATATTATTTTTCACATCCTGAAAAAATCTCTTACTAGAAAATTTGAAACATGTCGGACTAAAACCTTTGAAATTATTAAGGAAAACCAAATTTTTATTTTTCACTTTGACACCCTGTATCTTTTTTATTGTAGGTATGTTAGGCTAAATCAACTTATTTTTACCTAAGGAATCTGGTATCATTTATGCCCCTCCATTTAAATACACCCTCTATAACGTATAGTTTAACAATGGGTATTAGTGTAGCTCATTTTTATTGTTTATTATTTTACGAAATGCGCAGATGGAATTTTATAAAAACAATCTGTAGTAAAATACAGAAAGCGCGCGAGCAACTATGAATGCGCTACACATTCCACTACGCCATCTACCAATCATCCATAGGTACTAATACCCGTTATTTAACAATAGGTAATCAGCAAGGGTCAATATTTTTAATAAAATATTTTTTTCTGCCGTCTCCAATGCTTACGTCACTCGATAAGTATGCTGCATCTGTTCACTGTCCACGTCCCTGTTACTGAACATCTCAGGATAGGAGAATTTGTAGTTAAAGTAGCATTCGATGGTGTACTGAGTCACCTCTATGTTGTTTTGGCAGGCTATCAGGAAAAGGACGATTTGTTCGTCGGACAGTTCTGGAATGTATGGTTTGAATTTCAGCCATTTTTTTATGTCGTCTACGTTGGACCTGGTCGTGCGGCCGCTTTTTATTATGTCTTCCGCTTTGAAGGCGTGTTGGGGAATCACCGACATGGTTTTACCTGAAAAAAGTGTTTTTCTATAAGAATTTATGTTTTCGTTTGTTGTAAGCTTTACCAAAGCAAGTTACTTAGTCTTGAGCAACTCCAATTTTTTTTAATTCGAAAGACAATTTACTTCCAAAGGTCTCAGATTTGTTGAAAATATGGATATTTTTTGTCATAGTACTTGAAAAAGTGTATTGATATAAGAATTGCAGTTATCATGTAAAATGGCAAATCTTAAAAAATATTGTACAATAATATGTAAGTATATGCCTCTGATCTGAAGCTTCGCATCGATCAATTTATTCGACACGTATCTAACGGCATCCTAATGTAATATAGGGGTAGTCGCTCTTTGTTTCACCCTGTATTTTTTATACTCCCTTTCTTGATGGCTTGTGCAGCATCATTGGACAGATAATTTAATTTTAAAAGTTTTTTTTTCTAATGATGTTTTTTGATACGACTAATGTTAAACGAGATAATTTGATTACATTGACTATTTTAAAATAAAAAAATGAACGGCAAGTAAGGTACCTACTATTAACTGTATTAATTCTTATTATTAGTAATTAATTAAATTAATAATATTAAATGGCAATTACAACAAAATTTATTATTAAAAAAATTCAAATTACTTAAATATTATTCTCAATGTGCCTGCCTCCTGCCTGAAGGCAAGTATGAAGTCTTGGTCTAAAATTATACTTCACTCGAATAAAAATTTCAATGTTATTGCGATGTTCATTTACTGCATTTAAACACGAATCTCGAGGTTTTTCAAATTATGTACTGGTGTACAATAAACTAGGCCTTTAAGGTGACTCCAAAAGTAAAAATCACACGGATTAAGATCAGGAGAACGCGGTGGCCAAGCAATTGGTGCATTTTGACCAGGACCTATCCATCTTCTGGGAAAATTTTGCTGCAACCATTGACGTACAGTCAAAGAGTAGTGTACTGGAGCCCCATTGTGTATGAACATATATTTTGCCGTGTCTGCAGTGGAACTTCATCGGGAAGGTCGTATAAACTGTTTACTAAAAAATCGAGATAATTTTCTCCTCCTAAGCGATGCGGCATGATGTGGGGTCCTACAAGGAAGGTAATGCCCTATACTTAATACCTATACAGTGTGTGCTGTTGATAGAACTTGCACGTCTTTACACCAGATATGCGTATTATGGGTATTAAAAAGACCATGTCTTGTAAAAGTTGCTTCGTCAGTAAATAATACAAAATTAGAAAAAAATACGATTTCCGTTTAACATTTGCAATATTGTTCTGCAAAAAGTAATTCTTCTAGGAAAGTCTTCAGACAGCAACTCTTGTACTTTTTGAATATGGTACGATCATCTTATTTATTTACTTTTATTCATTAACAATGGGAAAATCGAAAGCTGAAGATACTACACGTGAAATGGTGACCATTGGCGCAAATATGCCTTATCCGAAAGTTGATAGTTTCGGAAATACAGGGTGTTGAAAGTTAAAATTTTAAATCGTTTTTTTGCGATTATTCTGAAAATATGTAGGTTAGGAACTTGAAAATTTGTGAAACTATATTTTTTTGGGCGACGAATAAGATGCGTGTTGTAATTTCAGCATTGCTCATAGAGGGCGCCACTTACGACCAATTTTACCGAAAATTTAGTTAATAACTTTTTACCCTGTATGTCTAACATGAAACTTGATTCAAAACCTGAAAGAGCAATCATTTTTCCATTAATTGTGTATTCTTGTTTCATTTCGGTATCTCGATCCGTTTTCGAGAAAAATCGATTTAACGAACACTATGTTTTGATAATACGAGAAATTAAAAGCGAAACAAACCAAGTGTTTCTTCGTGTTATTACAACAATTAACAATAAAACAAATGAAATTCGTAATAATGATTTAAAGTCAGTGTTCGAAGAATCCACCGTTGACATTTACACACTTTACACAACGTTTTCTGAGAGATCTTCGAGTTTGAAACAACATATTGGGATTGCGTTTGACTTCGTTGGCAGCGATTTGTATTCTTTGCCACAACTCTTCACACGAACCAATAGATTCTTCCAAATAGAAAAATGAAGAGGATTAAAGTCCGGACTTCTGGGTGGCCGTTAGATACGTGTCGAATAAATTGATCGATGCGAAGCTTCAGATCAGAGGCATATACTTACATATTATTGTACAATATTTTTTAAGATATGCCATTTTACATGATAACTGCAATTCTTATATCAATACGTTTTTTCAAGTACTATGACAAAAAATACCCATATTTTCAACAAATCTGAGACCTCTGGAAGTAAATTGTCTTTCGAATTAAAAAAAAATTGTAGTTGATCAAGACTAAGTAACTTGCTTTGGTAAAGCTTACAACAAACGAAAACATAAATTACAACACGCATCTTATTCGTCGCCTAAGAAAATATAGTTTCACAAGTTTTCAAATTCCTAACCTTCATATTTTCAGAATAATCGCAAAAAAGCGATTTAAAATTTTAACTTTCAACACCCTGTATTTTCGAAACTATTAACTTTCGGATAAGGCATATTTACGTCAATGGTCACCATTTCACGTGTAGTATCTTCAGCCTTCGACTTTCCCATTGTTAATGAATCACCCTGTATTAGTCGTATCAAAAAATATCAAGATAAATTATCTATCTAAGCCATCAAAATATGGAGTATACATAAAAGATGAAACGAAGAGCGACTACCCTTACACCCCCATGCGTCAATGCATTTTACTGATAATCACTTCAAAACATGGCTATTTATTAGCATTGGTCGTGTGCCAATTTTGAAAAAAAAATATCTTCAGACATTTAGAAGAAATTTCTGTTTTTACTTGTTTTTTTGTTCCACCTTTAAGCGGTTGTAACTCGTTAGGGGTGCATTTTGATATCTAGGTAAATGCGTTCAATAACGTTAAACGAAAGTCAAAGTTTAATAAAATTATGTTTAGTTATTATTATATTTATATTGTTTAAACTAATGCCGGGCACGGAAATTTTCTTGCGGAATATTAAACTCAAATATACAGGGTGTCCCATTAAGGTCGGCGAGGTACGATATTAGGGAAAGTATAAGCCCTAGAACTTCGGTAAAAAAATTTTGATTATAAAATCGACCAAGAGAAATCGCTGGAAATATTTTTCAAGTTCGTAGCCGCAACATAGAGTTGAATTTTTCTCAGAAATGTTTCCTATTAGATACTTTAATTTAATAATAAATTTTTGTGCTGAATTCATTTATGTAAAGAAAATGGCATTGCATTTAAAATTTTTGAGAAAAATTCATAAAACGGCATTCTTTTGAAATAACACCATCTATAGGTTTCCATATTGAGGTAAATGACATTACGCATTCACCACGAGATGAAGCATGAAAAGACCTTTCCAATGAGGTATAACACTATGGGCTTTTGATGAGCCAATCCTTAAAAAAATGTATTTTTCTGATCAGACATTAGGGGCTTCCCCCACCCTTTCTGTCGAGAGGTAGAACAAAAGGTCAATAATAAAAATTATGCGCAATGAATCCGCCTATCCCTATTTGTACTATTTAATATACCTGAATAGGAATCACTTCTGAGAAAAATTCAGCTCTATGTTTTGGTATGTAGATTGCGCCCCCTAGCGGCCGAGCTACGAACTTGAAAACTATTTCCAGCGGTTTCTCTTGGTCGATTTATCTCAAAATCTTTTTCCCGAAGCTCTAGGGTCAATACTTTCTCTAATATCGTACCTCGCCGACCTTAGTAGGACACCCTGTATAACTGATGTAACTAAAACACTTTATTATCTGACTGAGAAATCATTAAAATTTTCAATTGTTTATTTAAAAGTGTAAACTGTATTTCAGCTCAATCAGTCAATTTGTATTTCAATTATTTCAGAATATGTTGTTCTTAAAAAAAATCATATTCCGAGTAAAGCACTTATAAAATTCCATTGGTAACGGTTAGACACGAATAACTGTTTGAAAATTTCGTGCTCTATGAAATACTAAAGGTATTTTCTGAAAATCAATTTATGGACATTAAAAAATCGTGGGACCAAATATTTACTCCAGTTTAATTTGAATTATAGTCTGTTTGGAAATGAAAGAGAGTAATAAAACCCCGAGATAAGAACCGGCCATGGGCGTGGTAATATTTCGTTTCAGGTAATTATCGGGTAACACTAATGCTAACAAAAATGACAGGGATTGAAAAATCGACTATTTACAGACTTTTAAAGGAAACAAAAAATGAACAAGATACTGTAAATCCCCCAAAATTATCTACAGGGGGGTCAAAAGTCGTTATAGATGATTTCTTCAAATATGTCATTCGCACTCATTTTATTTTAAAAAACAAATACCAACGCTAAACAAAATTTTAAGTGAACTTTCAGAGGACAACGATTTGCCAAAAATCAGTAGAAACAAATTATGGGCCGTCTTACGAGAGTTGAATTTTTGCTGGGAAAAGCAGAACAGGAAGTCAGTTCTTATCGATAAAGATGAAATTATTTATTGGCGAAGATCCTACTTAAGATCAATTAGAAAAGGGAGGGACGAAGGGAGGAATATTTATTATCTAGACGAAACTTGGGTCAACGAGGGATATACTGTAACAAAAGTATGGCAAGATAAAAATGTAAAAAGTTTTCGACAAGCATTTTTGGATGGACTTTCAACAGGGTTCAAGGTACCTTCAGGTAAAGGGCGAAGATTAATGGTGACACATATAGGTAGTGCCAGTGGTTTTGAGATGGCGGTTTACTTTTATTTGAATCTAAAAATACAGGTGACTATCACGAAGACATGAACGCAGATGTTTTCGAAGAGACGTTACTGTGGAACCTATCGTTATCAATCTAGGAGACGAAGATAATTCATCAGAATATTCAGAGGATGAATTTTAATATAGGTACCTACTTTTTTATTTTCTTTATTGTACATTTATACAACACCACATTTACTCACCATAATTTGAATTTTCAAAATACATATATTTTTGTGTGGAATAAAAGTCTATT